TAGGGTTTAGGGTTTCGGATGAGGGTTTAGGGTTGAGCGTTCGGGGGTGAGGTGTACTGGGTTTAGCAACACTCAGAAACACGCAATAACGGCTTCTCAAAGGGTACCGCGATTATGACTCTAGTTTTTGTTTAGGGTCTCTGCCTTCACAGCTTATTGAATGAGGCTTCTTGACTTAGCCCTAAACCCTAAACTCCTAAACCCTAAACCCTAATCCGTTTAGGGCTCAAGGGCTGCATGGTTATAGAATGTAGGGTGTTGGTGTCTTTTTGTTTTTGGTTCTGTGCCTCTTTTTGTCTTGTACTGTAGAGGTTAGGGGGTTGCAGGGCGTCAGGGTTTCCCCTTAAGTGGTCTCGGGGTTTAGGGTTTCGTCTGAATTTGTTGTTTTCGTGTTCTGGTTTTCATTGCATACTTTGGCAGGATCAGCATATACTCGGGGTTCATGGCTTTCTGCAACGAGCTCAACGTTCAATGCGCATGGTTTCTTATCAGGTTATTGTTGCGACATGAGCCCCCTGAATCAGACAGGAAGCTTGGGATATCGATTGTTGTTGAATGTGCTGTATATTGTGTTATAGAGACGGCATGTTTGTTTAAAGTACGTTAAGAGTTAGGTATTCAAGATACTGTGTTGCAACGGCTAAGCCATGTTTGCTTTCTGGGTCATCGGGGGCATGTTGAAGGCATGTTATTGATGAAAGCATGTGTGCAGTCATCTGCTTCATTGCTACTTGGAGTTATTGCGGACCGTACCCCTAAACCCTAAACCCTAAAAAAGGTATATTGTGCGTCATCCTCGCTGTTCCCAACCCAAGGCCCTAGGATCCAGGCTTCGTGACAGCATACCTCACATCCCAAACTCGCGACCAAGGGTTACTGTATAAGGCTCACTCGATATGTGCTAATATACACATCAGGGTCCCTCCAAATTCGAGCCCAACTCAGAAAGCAGGCTCACTTCCCGATTTAGGGTTTCCTAAACCCTGAACCCTAAACCCTAAACCCTAAACCCTAAACCTCAATCGGCTGGTCCCTCTCACACTGCTTCGGCCTTGATTGGGGGTTACAGGGCGTCCCTTCGGAGGTGAGGGATTGCAACCCTAAACCCCTAAGCCCTAAACCCCTAAACCCTAAACCCTAAACCCTAAACCCTAAACCCTAACCCTAAACTCTAAACCCTAAACCCTAAACCCTGAAAGCCCTAAACCTGCAGCCTTCAGCAGCAGGATGCCCAGTCCCTACATCTTTTAGCTGCTGCTACTGTACTCAAGGTATGAAGCCTGCCAGCGCCTAAAGCTCCAGTGATAGCTTAAGCAAGCCATCGTAATCCGTACAGACATTAAGAGGGGAGCCCATGTCTGCTATCTTCATGCGAGTTTTGCAGGGTTGCTAGTTGAGGTTTGAAAGACGGGGCTGTTTGAAATACCAGTGTAGATTGCGCTTGTGGCGAAGCAATGGCAACGACGATTGACACGGAAGTTCTTGCTGGGTACATCAGCTTGGGCAACTTAGAAGGGCTGCGGAAGTTTGCGCCGTCGAGTTTCGACTGGAGCCAGCCTCTCGATCACGAGCATCAAGTACCAGCACTCGTGCTGGTAATAATCCGAGGGCTGACTAAAGACGAACGAACGAAGGCAACTCTCCTGCAGATTGCAGAATGGCTTCTGAAAGCTGGGGCAGATCCAAGCTACAAGATTCCACAGCAGAACGACCGCGCGTTCAGTATTTGGAAGAACAACAACAAGCCGGGAACCACGATCACTGTTGAATACAAGACGCACTCCGCAGTTTCCTTTGCCTTTGCTTTGCTTCGTCAAATGCAGGAGGGCAAAGGTGGTGCGAACTGGTCAGACAACACAAAATATCTGGAAGCGATTGTGGCGCTCTTTGCACGGACGGGTGGCAAGAATCCCAATAGTGCAGATGTCACCGTGCCACAAAGTACTTTGGACTTTTGGGAGTCCATCCGGGAGTTGACCTCCTCACATAACGTAATCTTCGAAGCTTCCGATGGTGAAGTCTCGGCCCACCACCATGCCCTCGCGGTTGCATCGCCAGTTCTGAAGGCGATGCTCACGTCGGCAATGAAGGAGGGCACGACCAAGCGCATTCAAGTGAAGGATTCCTCGTCCTCAGGGGTTTCGCTCTTTCTGGATGTGTTGTACACTAGTTCCGCTCGCGAGGAACCTGACAACAAGACCACTCTGGTTGCTCTGGACTTGGCGCACCGCTGGCAAGTCCACCGTGTAGTGCAAATCCTGTGCCCTGCACTGTGCGACATGATCGATGCCAACAGCTTCGCGGAAATCGCAGAGGCCGCAGCTCTCATGGGTCTAGAGACGCTGCAGAGAGCATGTGTTTCTTTCGCTTCCACGAGCGAGCACGTGCAAAGAAGGCTAAAGAATGGTAGTCTCCCCGCGGCTGTGCGAAAGCTTCTTGGAGAGCCTGAGCACGAAAGTGATGAGCAGCAAGAGCTGAAGAAGCGTCGGCGATGGCTTTCCCGCCCCTCATGAGAAGCTCTTCTTCCTCAAACCCCCAGGAGATCCTGCAACCTGCCGGCCAGCGCAGGGCGAAGTGGCATGCTCTTGTCAATCACTCCACCTTCTGGAATCGTCGAGTGTCAGTTGAGGCGTCTTCAGTTTGTCTTCTGTCCTCCGACAAGTTTTATCAACCAAAAGCGGCTCGAAATCCACGCCTGCAGCGAGTGTTTGTGCGTTTCTCCGGGACCTTCGGGTTTCGTGGTTTTTAGGCTTTACATAAAGTCCTGAGACCCCCAGTACCTCTAGACAGTTTCCGGGTGTTCGGGCTTTAAGGCTTGTTGGGTTTGAGATTTAGGGTTCAGGGTTCAGGTCCACGGGTTTGCGGGTTGAGGGCTCAGGCATCTGTAGTGTAAGGTTCAGGGATACTCAGAAGCCCTCGACAATTGTCAGAGGGTGGCAGTCGGCATCGTCTTTGCCGGCGTCGTCGTCCTCTTCGTCGTCGTCGTTGTCGTCGTCCTCGCAGCCACTGTCGTCGTTTTCGTCGCTGCTGCCATAGATTCTTCGCCGTCGTAGGTGTCCTCATTGTCGCGTCGTCGTCGCCGCGTCCTCGTGGTCGTCGTCATCGTCGTCGTCGTGGTCATTGTCGTCGCCGTCTTCGTAGTAGCAGTGACTACTGTGGTGGTATGGGTGGTGGTGGACGTAGTACTCGTCGACGTGGCCGTAGCAGTAATAATAGCAGCAGCGAGTAGTAGTAGTAGTAGTAGTAGTAGTAGTAGTAGTATTAGTATTAGTAGTAGTAGTAGTAGTAGTAGTAGTAGTAGTAGTGGTAGTACTGGTAGTAGTAGTAGTAGTAGTAGTAGTAGTAGTACT